CCAGGGGGGGCCCGGGGGGGGGGGGGGGACAGTACGTATGCAACAATACAGTTAACCCACGGTTCAGTAAATACCTTTGTTTATAGCCAGCTTGGAGAGAAATAAAACGCAAAAAAAAATTGGGTTTGTTGAACTCTTCATCTTTTTCTGTTGCTTGTTTTGAATACTTCACGTGGACAGAGGCGTCACCAGGTTTTTTGCGTAGTTTAGAGTGACTAATCGTACCAGCGTACTTTGAGGTTAAAATGCGTATACGCTATGCAAAATGCGCACAGGTTGGCAGGTCTGCATTATGTCTGGTGGAAATCCAATACAGGTCACCATCCAAATAACAGCATTCCTACAATAAAGCATCGAGGTGGTAATATCCTGTTATGGGGGAGTTTCTCTGCAGCAGGGACTGGAGCACTTATCAGGATAGAAGGAAAAATGGATGGGGCAAAATACCATCAAATTCTTGAGGAAAATCTGCTGCCCTCTGCGAGAAAGTTGTCAGTGGGAAGAAGGTTTACCTTCCAACATGACAATGACCCAAAGCACACAGCAAAACTGAGCACAGAGTGGTTGAAGGAGAAAAAGGTGAATGTCCTTGCATGGCCCAGTCAGAGCCTGGACTTAAACCTCACTGAGAATCTGTGGAATGACTTGAAGACTGCAGTCCACAAATGCTCACCATCAAATTTAACTGAACTTGAGCAGTTCTGCAAAGAAGAGTGGGCAAATATTGCAAAGTCTAGATGTGCAAAGTTAGTAGAGACAAATACCGCAGACTAAAGGCTGTAATCAAAGCAAAAGCTGGTTCAACAAAATACTGACACAAGGGGGTGATCCTTTTTCCAACTCAGTGATTGTTTTTTTTCTTTCCCTGACATGTTGGTATTATATCTTTCACTTGAATGTTATAAGTTGCACTGAGTAAATACAGCTGAATAAAACAAAAACTGTGTCCGTCTTCATTTCAGGCTGCAAAGCAACAAAATGTGATTATTTTAAAGGGGGGCTTTCTATAGCAACTGTATATATATATATATATAATATATATATAGTGACATAATGGCTGCCTCCCCCTAATTATCATCGACACCCCGTCTTTTTAATCGCCACCCTTCACCAGGTTCCTGACAGAAGCCACCGCCGCCTCTCACGCCCGGGCCACAATTTATTTTAATTTTCTGTTAAATAAAAGCCTCTCTGAGGCTTGACGCCACACTCACTGTGTCTGTCGTTTGCTCCTCCCACCACAATATATACATATGTGTGTGTACATTGTCTGGGTTGGTTCATGCCTTATGTAATTTTTCAATTATATAAACGCATTAAACATTTCAAATATTTGTTGTAAACTTACAAAAGCCCTCACAGCCAAGTTCAGCTAATCTAGCGCCTAATGATAAGATAATGAAGTGTGAAAATGAATATAATGGCCATTAGACCTCAGGAAGAAGGTTTCCTGTAGCGCTGACTTCTTGTCAATGTAGTGCACACGACTCCCTAAAATGATCTCCTGAGCCGAGGAGAACGTGCATGAGTGTGTTAGCTCCACTTTTTCCCATGTCAATGAAGATACACCTCTGTACGGCGACTGACATTCACATATAATGAACAATTGTGAGAAGAGTGAAGAGGGAGTTGACAGCACACATTTGAACTTCAGCCAGTTAATGTGTGCTTTGTGTCTGTGAGCTAGCTTTTCACAGCTAGGCCAATGTGTGCTAACTCGTGCTGAATTAACAGACTTAGCGGAACATAGTTTGGCATACTTACATGCTAACATTTACAGTTTAAATCTATTATTATAGCTGAATGTAGTTTGGCACTGATGTGCTAATATATACAATATTAAAAATACTTAATATCATATCTGTTAATAGATTTAATGTAGTTCACATGCTAACATTTAACTGATTAGCAGACTTCTCATATTAGCTGAACAGTTTGGCGTACTCACATGCTAATATTTGCATTTTAAATGTAATAGTAGATTTACAATTAATTTGATTTTAAACTTAAAACTTAAAAAGTAAGTACAGTGTAGCTTAAAAGTACAGTGAATTTGGAGTTCCATCTTGGCAACTTCCAACAGTTTAATCACTGTTAGTCTAAACGCATCTTGAGTTAGGAGCCCCTACAGAGGATTTCAGTAAAGTGATGGTCATTCATTCATATCTGATGATTTTAACATCATTTGTCTTGTATGTTTCGAGTCCACTTCAGAAGGTAATTGATTTTACTGGGTGCAGTTCTTTAGCGCTGATGTTCTAGACCTGTTTGCTGTTGTTGAATGGAGTGAGAAGTATCAGTTTGACAGAGAGACTCCAGTAATGAATCCTCTCTGGTTCTCTCTCTCACTCGATTCCACAAATATGCATCCCATCTCATCAATCAGTCTTTAATTTCCAAAATATATTACACATGCAGAATCAACAGAATTACAATCGCAGTAACAAAAACTAGCTTATGTGTTGCGGTCACACTAGGCAGAACTAGTAGAATCTCCAAAATTAAATATGCACTAGTCTGATTAAGGTCTATAGCTGCAGAGAGTTCAAACATGATGATTTTTTTTGTTTTTTTCAACATGATGAACTCTGACCTGCAACTTTGTACAGTGGAAAGACGTTTTACGTCTTCATTTGGCTTCTTGGGTGTAAATCAAATAATTTAGACAGTTTTGCAACAATATAAGTTTACAATATACAAACCTTTACTACTTTTGTAGTATAGAAACTTATAACGAAAAGCTGTTTGTGCAATGTTGTGAGAAATTGTAGTAGATACCAAAATGTATTAATTTTGAATAAAGTAAATGCATAAAATAATATTATAAAATGATGTATAAAATATAGAAAATACATTTATTTTGTTATTTATTATATTAAAGCATATGACATCATATCTTGTTGCTCATATTTATTGGTGAGACAGAATTAACTGCATTCATATAATCTAATTTGACCGTCCCTTGAGAAACAGATATTATTCACAAATAGCTTTGCATATCCAATTACACTGTAACATTGCGCATAATGTAAAACATGACATCTTCTTTAATAGCATGCGCTGACTGTTTTTTATTACACTCAGCTGTAAAATGTAATGTAGTTCTCCGTTCTCAAGGGAATCGAGTACTTAAGCATTTATTTTTTACTCTAAAACAAACAGAAACAAAAAGAAATATGTTGCATGCAATCAAATGTGAAATGAGGACTAAATGTGTGTTTAAATTAAAAGCAAATGTGACCCCTGACCACAAAACCAGTCTTAAGTCGCTGGGGTATATTTCTAGCAATAGCCAAAAATACATTGTATGGGTCAAAATTATCGATTTTTCTTTTATGCCAAAAATCATTAGGATATTAAGTAAAGATCATGTTCCATGAAGATATTTTGTAAATTTTCTACCATAAATATATCAAAACTTAATTTTTTATTAGTAATATGCATTGCTAAGAACTTCCTTTGGACAACTTTAAAGGCGATTTTCTCAGTATTTTGATTTTTTTTGCACCGTCATATTACAGATTTTCAAATAGTTATATCTCGGCCAAATATTGTCCTACCCTAACATACATAATAAAGAATTATTGATGTAATCATACATCAAAGGAAAGCTTATTTATTCAGCTTTCAGATTATGTATAAATATCAATTTCAAAAAATTTACCCTTATGACTGGTTTTGTGGGCCAGGGTCACAAATATGAGCGGCAAAAAACAAAAACATGAGGCAATGTGTGTTCACAACCTCTATCCTCTAGATGGCAGTAGAGACTCAATACTTCAAATAACAGACTTCACAGGTTAGGCTTGAACTACTGATAACCAAAATGCCCATATTATTATTTATGCATGCACACATACTCTACATACATTACCTATATGAGGTAAAGTTGTCATAGGAGCCCACAGTGTAATGTCTGAACAGCCTCTTGTTTCGGTCCTCTCTCGTCTCTGAAAGACAAATATGACACAAATTGACATTAATCATCGTAACTACCATATTTATCATTTTCAATGCCGTTAATCATATTTGCATTGCATTTCAGAGCTGATCACATGTCTCTAATCAGCCGTCTGTGACAATGTGGGTGTCTGTTTATGTGCAAAAATGCAGAAAATCTTAATTAAATGCACAGGCAAGGTCAACTGTATATTTGTGTGTGTGTGTGTGTATGTGTGTGAGGGAATGTGGTCTCGTTAATCCAGTCAGAGGTTCTGGCTAATAGGGCTGGTGTCTCAAGCAGGACTAGATTTATGTGATTGGACTTTGGGCTGGAAATCAATGCACTGCTCCCCTACAGAAGACCAATCTTCTGACACACATATACACATATTCACGTTCATACACAAACACACCCCAAGAATCTTACAAATAATGAATCTTACAAACATTTTCTGGCAAGAACAAACAGTCAAACACATGCATTTCTTTCCGTGATACATTAGAAATTGTGTTAGAGCGCTTATTGAATTACACTTTGCTCTCAGTGTTATTGAATTCAACATGTCTTCCTCTCTGTCTCCCCCTTTTCTTAATAAACTCAGTGACCCACGTGCTCTGGTCTGATTACTAATGCATATTTCCTGTCTTTTTCTTCCGTCCCCTGTCTCCTTCCTGTGTCACACTCTAGTATTCCTTCTGTACATGTCTGCTCTTCTTCAGTCCTCTCTTCATGTGACAGTCTGCGAAGTGCCACGAGTGTGTTTAAAGGAGTCATATTATGATAAATGAAAGTTTTGAAATAAACAGGTTCGGTGTACTATGACAACATACTGTACAACTCAACTTTCTTTCAGCCCAAAAAAGGAATGGCAGATGAATATTGTATTATATTACGTACAACCGCATACATTTATACTGACCACATTTTTGGTGATGTTTACAGTTAGGTAAAAAGGTGAAAGCTGGATATATACTAATACTTATAGATACAGTTCAAACTAATAATACGAGTAAAATGTGGTTTGCTACCCAACATTATTACCCCTATGTTGCATATGACTTGCTCTACTTCTGACAAGAGACAAAAGGATCAGAGAGAGATGATGAAAAATGGTCATGAAAAACTAAATTATAACTGCAATTGGTGCAGAAAAAACTATATTATAAACTAAAATGATGAAGAAAATTTGACCTACAATATCTGAAATTAAACATACAGTAAATCTGAAGAAATAAATGTATATAAATGTATATAAAAGAGAGAGAGAGAGAGAGAGAGAGAGAGAGAGAGAGAGAAAAGCGAGAGTTACATCTACTGACTCTGTGTCCTACTCTGTCACCACAGAATTGAGAAGTTAAAGCATGCATTAGCATTTTAATGACTTGAAGGCAAGGAAGGACGCACAGATCAAACCCACAGGAGAGAGAAAGAGGGTGATATATAAGCACTGGTATTATTATTGCCTACAGGGATTTGAACACAGACCGAACCAAAAGCATTAAAAATTTGTCAGTAAGCTTTGCACTCTTTTGACTCTCTTGCACCAGTATGAAACCACCTAGAACATTCTACTGTACTAACCACTTATCAATGTCCTTGCAACCAACCAGCACATCCTAGCATTGCTTTGGTTTTGCACGAGTAACAACCACCAAATCGTTTCTACTGAAAATGAAAACACACTAAACATTTATATTTTTGAATGTTCATGAATAATATTTGACATCTGTTCCATTGCAAAGGTACGCTTCTTGATTATACCTATAATACATTATAAAAAATTATATACATTTTATATAACAAACTTTATGGATAAATATAAATACATAAAATATAAAAAAAATTAAAGGATTGAAAATTATACATTCTAATATAAATACACTATAAACACAATTATAAATTTATACAACTTTATACAATTATTTAAATGATAAAAATACATATTTATATATAAAAAAAACTGTATATATAAATAAATGGCTGATTACCGATATGATTATAATACAATTCAACGACAGCAAGTAAGTTACTTGAATACACACACAAAAATCTGATCTGATTTAATGCATAATGCATAATCTTTACTCATAAATAACTGCGCATGGACATGTGCATGTGTGCGTAGTTGATTACAGGGGTCCTCGCCATCTGTGTCCAGAGTAAGAAGAATAATGCAATCATTTATCATTCTTACAGAGAAAAAAAGAAAAACAGAGAGATCTCTGAGGGCTATACGCAGCAATCATCTGTCAAATGACAAACTACATGAACACACACTGTATATGAATCAATCTATTATCTGTTCAGGAATGGGATATGTTCGACCGGACCGGATCCGGAAATGAGATTAAAAGTTTGTAAAACACAGCTGAGTCACATCCATTCCAGACGGCTAAACGAACAACTAGACCATTTATTCCAATACAGTGGCCAAATGAACACAATCCCACACACACATACAACAAGACTGCCTCACTGAACTCATAGTGAGATAAAAGGGCTGTCAGAAAAATTAAGAGTAACCTGACAAACACTCTTGCATGAGAATAGAGCAAAAAACTGCAGGAAACTACACAAATCCATACAGGAGAATCAAGTCACCTTGGGAGGAATAATCAGTCAGCAGACAATGACTTCAATGGCAAATCACATACTTCGGAAGCAAAAATGACTCTCTGTAAAGCCTTGATCAGTTGAGTGACAGTCTACAAAGGTCTCAAAAGAGTCTCAAAGCTTCATCGTGGTAATCTGATGACGTGATCAATGATTGCAGCTTGTCAAAGCCCCTTAACCAATCACACTCACCCTCAGGGTCAACAGTTTAATGTGCTAAATGCTTTTGAAAAATATGCTCCTATTTTAAATGAACAGCACCATGCATGGCAGGGCCTCGGTGCCAGCGAGGGATTATGGGAACCGTCCGTATGCCACAGATGGGATGTGGACGGCCAGAACTCAAACAGATTTTGAAATGAGAGCACACTTAAAGCCTAAAGAAGTCTAATATGCAGATTTTTTTCAAATCAAAACAAATGGCAGAATAGATCTCCAGCATATGAGGCACTGTGAGGATTTCTCTGTTTTACATCAGCTGTGTGAAAGAGGCACCATGCCATCTTGAAGATTTTATCCGCTGCGGATATAAATAACTTTTTTTTTCATCCCCATCAAAACAGGAAATGACACTGATTGGACTTTTAGTTCGTTTCTCTTTGTTTCCTTGTTCCTATGTTGCTGCTTATCAGTTGTCATGGTTATACATTGTCACTAATTAGAGCACATTTGTTTTGTATTGAGTTTGTTTGCCTTTGTATTTAAGCCCTTCAGTTCTTTCCGTTCATTGTCTGGTGTTGGTTGCTTTAGTACACACTGTTGCTTCGCTACTCGTCTTTTGTGCGGTTTAATTAAAAGTTATTAAAAAAGAATTTTAATAAATTGTAAACATAAATGGAAAAATACTGTAACAGTTTTACTGTCACATTTGTTCCCAGTAGTTCTTTGCATGTTATAGCTATACCAATCATTAGGGGGCGCTCTGTATTCTGAGTTGCTCATTTGCCTAAAAGGGGGTAAAGAAGTAGCATTAGGCAGGAAGTAGTGTGCTAAGCACATGGAATGTCTTCACTTTTGCTGGTGCCCTGATTTGAGGAACAATTTGTTCTTGCTCTCAAATGTAAGTAAGGCGTTGTTTTGTATGTATGTAGAGTTTGTAAATATGCTTTCTGTTAGGGGTTAATACTAAACACGTGTTGATTGTATGTTTGTTTAAATGCAGAGGGTTCTTGTATGAGAGAGGAAACAGCACAGATATAAACAGGACCTAGACAAAAAGGGGCTAATTGTCTTCATCCAAACATCTACTCATCTTATTCTATGATCAACAAACGGATGAATCGTTTGCTGGTTCCGATTCTTTCTTGCTTCATTTAAGGACTGCTGGTCTCATATTTTCCACTTTAAAGGCAGAAAAGTGTGATATGAATGTGTGTCTCACAGTATGTCTTTAATACACATGGCTCACTGAAATGAATCAGTCTCTGTGGTCCCTCAATCTTTATGTAGCATCAAAAAGTTAGGTGTTACAATACAATTGTATAGACTAATACATACTGTATATATCAAAATAAATATAAATAAATTTAATACAGATACATATACATATATCTAAATAAATATGCATAAATGATGAATACATTAATTACAAATGATTTAAGATAAATAAATATAAAAAAAGAGCTGTCAGTAGAATTTGGAATTGACAAAGTAGGGAGACAAACACTTGTTAAGTGCATGATTGTTAATAGACCAAGTGAACATGGTTATCAGCTGATATTGCGAACCTTGGCCAAATATCAGCTGATTAATTGACCAGTAGTTGTGCTTTTGCCATATTGGTGCTGTAGTCATATCTCTGATGTTCTGCTGTGGATATCTAGTACTGAAGGGCCAGTGCTCTAAGAAGAGCTTGTGCCTTTGGCCAGACAACAGTGTCCCAGTTCACCACACTGATAGATACATTTAGCCCTTGACTCTTTACCTTTCACTGTGATCTCTCTCTGCCACTCTGAACAGACGTGTGAGTGGGGTCTGTCCTGTTCTCATCTGAAAGCCGAGTTTGCTTTCAAAAGCTATGGCCAACGGGGGCCTCCATCCTAACACACATCAGAGAGACTCACGAGGTTTAGAAAGCCAAGATGACGGTCCACGTAGACCCAAACAAAGCACACTAACTCTAACACACACACACACACACACACACACATATGGTGCAGTAAATAGGTCAGATCAATGGGGCGGCAGGTCTCTTTCCACGCTTGATCAGATTGTTCAGAAGTAGAATAGCTGCTGACGTGATTTCGCCATTACCTCACGCTTACACTCTCTCCCTCCATCCTCAACACTTTTTAAAATCTCTCCTGCTTTCTCCCAGACATATCTCTATCTCTCCATGGCCTCTGACTGCCCTGCATGGAGCCGACCCACTTTTTTGCGCCGAGATGAGAGAAA